AGGTTTATATATGGAGGGAAACTTTCTTTGGTGGTTGCCAGGGTTGGGAGGGGAGGAGAGGGAAGACACTAAATAAATAATGCATTGACCCCTGTCACTTTAGTTTTGTGTATTTCACTGTACATAAATTATATTTTAATAAAACGCATTAACAAGGAAAAAGATATTTGAACAATATTTTTCTGTTCTGTAATCACTTTAAGACAGTTGTCTAACTTTCTGATTTTGATGTTACTGACCCACGTTTGTGTACTAAACGTATGTCTTAACCTACATCTAATGCATTGAGCAGGTGAAGCAGTTGAGGAATCGGGCAGATGAAGATGCTCGGATGATCCACATGAGCACGCAGATGGGAAACGAGCCTCCCATTTCACTGCGAAGGGATCTCGAACACTTGATGCTCCTGGTAAGCGATCAGCCTGCACGGAGGGCCTGTTCCTCACCGCATGGTTTTCCCTGACGCTGGGAAAATTTCAGGTCTCATCCCTTAACTCTGCAGCGAATTGAATAAAAACAGACATTTTCACTTAAAAGTACTTTTTAAGAAATTATAGATGGTTTCCCCACAGTGTCTTTGCTTGCTCTTTGCAGATAGGGGAGCTGTATAAACGGAATTCCTTTAATTTGGAGCTTGCTCTGGAGTACTGGTGCCCCTCAGAGCCTCTTCAGACTCCCACAGTCATGGGCTCGTACCTGGGAGTGGCTCACCAGCGACCACCTCAGCGCCAGGTGGGATTGTAGTTCATCTGTGTGTGTGTGCTAGCATGGTCACCGGGATCCGAGAACCTAGATGACAAGGTGTCCTTTCCTGATGGGATTGCTGTGGAGCACAGAAGACCTCTGGTGGAATCTTTAGACATTTACATTTGGCCATTTTCTTTAAGGAAAGTTGAAGCTCTTCCATTTATGTTGAGCATTTTGAGGTTCATGTCATCTAGCTCTTTATTAGATACGTGTCCTTATTAAATACGTGTCTGAACCATCGAGACAGAGAGACATCTGGCTTTATAATCACCAATACGTTCTTAATGTGTCACTTACTGAATTTATTGCTCTTTTAGCCTGTCCTCTACAAACAGTTATTCTACATCACTTTTAGTTAGTGGGGAGGATAGGAGAGGAGAGGGACAAGGCATAAGCGCTCTCGCTGATGACAGAATGTCTGTGATTCAGCAGGGGATACAGGAGAGAGCTTGTTCTGTAACCTGTAATAACGAAATGTGGTGAGCAGAGGCCAGCCATGAGGACACTCTGCGATCAGTTTTCACTTTTTGATTTCCTGTTCTAGCTGTGTTTGTGCTGTATATTTCAAAATTTTGATATAGTCCAAAGTCAGAAGCCATTCTTTTCTTTATTTTTTTGTTTTGACTGCATGTCTTATTGTTTCAGTTTTTTTCCCTTTTACAAAAATATTTTGAATGAGAATGTATCCAAAAATTTAAGATTTTCAAAATTTCGTTTATGAAAACATGCAAACATATGAAGAGAGAATCATTATAACAACCACCTAACATCTTCCCATAACAGCTGTTCATTATAGCGATCACCTAACATCTTCCTGTAATAGCTGTTCATTATAATGACCACCTAACATCTACCCGAACAGCTGTTCATTTTAACAACCACGTAACATCTGCCCATAGCACCTATTCAGTATAACGACCACCTGACATCTGCCCAAACAGCCACTCATTATAATGACCACCTGACATCTTCCTGTAACAGCTGTTCAATATAACAGCCACCTGACATCTTCCAGTAATGCAAAAAATTGCATTTAATTGGTAATGACAAGCATGAAAAACAATTTTTCATAAGTAGAAACATCAGATTATTTTGTCTTTGAAGGGATTCAATCAGAGTACTTAATTAGTTTCAGTCTGTATATGGTCTTTATTATTTTATTAACTAACCCCTGTTGCTTTAAAGTCAAGATATAGATATAGATAAATGTGTGTATGTTTATTTGTGTGTATGTGTGTGTGTGTGTGTGTGTACCCCTTGGAAGGAAGGTTGGGCAATCTACTTCTGTAGTGATACTGCTTCAGAAACCCAAGGAAGGGTCGCTATGAGTCAGATCCGACTCAATGGCAGTAAGTTTTTATATGTGTACATATACATATGTATATGTATTTATACACACATGCACACACACTTACACATATATGTTTTTTTTTCCCCCATTTTTCTATTTCAGGTTGTCTTATCAAAGTTCGTTAGGCAAATGGGTGACCTGTTGCCTCCAACTATTTATATTCCTTATTTGAAAATGCTCCAGGGCTTGGCCAGTGGGCCCCAGTGTGCCCACTACTGCTTCAGTCTGCTCAAAGTCAACGGGAGCAGTCATGGTAAGGGCAGCCTGCATGGACTCTGAATTTGTTGTGACACTTTGCAGTTCAGGATCTCTTTGCTGTGAAAGAGTATAGGTTCTTTGTGGTAGGTTCTATCTAAGAGGTCCTTCATTTGTACAGTCTTAGGGGAAAGAAGCACGCTGGGGACTTCCTGCAGTGATGCCTTGATTGCTGTCTGACAGATTAGGGGATTTTGCCGTTCTGCTGTATAAAGTACAGGGCACTTGAACAATTCAGGATTAATACAGATCAATTTTCAAGGGCACAGCTGGTGCTCAAAGCAAGTATATTTTCCTACATAAATTTGATCAATTTATCTTCTTCAGTACTTTTTTTGAAATATTAATGCTTAAGAGTTTTTCTCTCAACCCTCTTCCAAGTAGTTCATTTAGTTTTCAGACTTGGGTTGGATTAAATGAAGAGCACTACAAAAAGGGAGAGAAACAGACGTTTACTAGGCATATGCCTTGTTAGGTAGCTATCACTGCTTTCATTTTCACATTTGTGGAGACTTAAGCTCAGAAGTGGAATGATTTACCCAAATTCAGGAGTAAGTGTAGAGTCGTGGTTGGAACTGAGATGTGCCTGGCTCCAAGGCCAGGGTCAGACTGCTGTCACAGTTTGCCTGTCTTGCGTGTTAAGCTTTTGCCCCCACTGCTTGGCATGTCATGGTGATGTGTGATTGCCACATCTCGACTGTAGTTGTATCTTTGTTTGGGAATTCATGTTCAACATCTGAGAATTAGTCTTTATAGTTACCTGATAGCACAGAGAACTCTCCTGGTTAGTGGGTAACTGACACCTTTACAGTTACATGGGCACCACCTGCTTCTTTACACCAGGTGCCATCAAGTTGATACTGACTCTTGGTGACCCCATATGTGTCGGAGTAGAGCTGTGATCCATTGGGTTATTTTAGTTTATTTATTAGTATTATTTTTTGTTGTTGCAAACATACACAGCAAAACATACACTAGTTCAACAGTGACCATTTAGTCACATTCACAGGTTCATTTTTTCAAGTTTTACTTATTTTGTTGTAGTTGAGAACACACAACAAAACATCCACTAATTCCACAGTAACCATTTAGTGACACTGATTACCTTCTTCAAGTTGTTGCACCATTCCCACCCTCCTTTCTGAGTTGTTCCTCCCCTGTTCACATACCCTCACTGCCCCTTAAGCATGTCTAACCTTTCGAGTTGCTGTTGTCACTTTTAGCCCATGTAGATAGTTATTAAAAGAACACAGTGCTCAATGCAGACCGTTTTTTCCTAGTTAAGCTAACCTATTGTTTGGTTTCAAGAAGACTCCAGGGGATATTTTTGATTTAAGGTTTCAAGTTTATCTCAGGGCAGTGGTTTCAGGGGTTCATTTGATGTACATGGCTCTAGGAAGTTTCCATAGGGCTTTTAAAGCCAAAACAAAAGTCACTGCCATTGAGTCAAGTTCAACTCATAGTGACCCTGTAGGATTTCCAAGGCTGTCAATCTTTCCGGAAGCAGACTGCCCCATCTTTCTTGCATGGAGTGGCTGGTGGGATTGCAACGCTGAACCCCTGGTTAGCAGCACGATGCCTTACCCACATGCTGCCAGAGCTCCTGTAGGGATCCTGTTGGCTCCTTTTCGCTGTTTGCACTACTCAGGACTTACACCCCTTGCTTAGCCCTGAGGGAAAATGTATCCATTGTTTCAGCTCACAGAGGGATTCTGATTCATTTTCCACACATTACTTGTCTTGGAAACACTTCTCGTTTGGGAAGATCTCCTGAAGTCACTGCTGTCTACTGTCGGTCGTTGCAATACCTTCAGATAGTATTAGGGGCTCTCTTATCTCTGTTATTACAACTTGAAAAGTGAGGCTTCATACTATCAAAGATGCATTCGATTGATATCAAAACAAGTTCATTGTTTTAAAGTTATTTTCTCTCCATTTCCAAGCAAATGACTAGAAATGTTTGCAGTAAAGTGCTGTGCTGTTTCTTTACAGTTGAGAACATGCAGGGGACCGGGGGCAGTCCTGTCTCCTGGGAACATTTCTTTCACTCCTTAATGCTTTACCATGAGCACCTCCGAAAGGATCTGCCAAGTGCAGACAGCGTCCAGTACCGCCACCTTCCTTCTCGCGGCATCACTCAGAAGGAGCAGGACGGACTGATTGCCTTCTTACAGCTTACCTCCACCATCATTACCTGGGTAGGTGGTCCAGCCGATGGAAAGGCTCTGTGGTCTAGCACAGTGGCATTTTAGTGGGCGCTCAATGTGTTTTTAATGTGTACAACTGATGAGTGGTGACTTCAGCAGAAGCCCAGCATCCTGTACTTACCCTCTTGGTTTTCTTGACCTTTAGAAGGTAGAAGTTATGATCGTTTGGCTTCTTGTCATAGGCTGAGCATGAGAATCATAGCCGAGGCCTGAAGGAGAACAGTTTTCTGTCAAAGATGGGTGGGGGGTGGGCATAATGTATCATTTTAATTAAAAAGTTATTTGCTGAATTACTGTTTTTCTCTCCTTGCACCACATCATTTCACCTGACACTACCAAATCAGCTTTTGTGAAAACACTGTTTTCATTACATCATTTCCCTACTCAGACATCTCTTCCAGTTCTTTCTGTTGTTCACTGGCACGAAGCCAAGTTGCTTAGTCTGACGTTCCTTCTGAAGGTTAGTGTTCTGGTTCCCTAGTGCTGCTCTGACAAGAATGTACCACAAATGGGATGGCCTTAACAAACAGAAGTTCATTCTCTTACAGTTTGGAGGCTTTAAGTCCATGTTCAAAGTGCCAGGCTCTAGGGGCTGGGTGAAAGCCCCTCAACCTTGAGGTCCAGCTCTGCTTCCTGCTCCTGGCCCACTGGAGCTAGAGGCGTTTCTTTACTCAGACAGCTGCTGGCTGCTGAGGCTGACAAGCCCAAGGTTTGACAAATAAAATGGCACAGTCCTGATGTTACTAAACCACATGGCAGGCCATTAACTTAAGTCCATTGTAAGTCCCAGGGTCGGCAGAGCATGGCAGGCTGCTGAGCAGTGACACAGCTACATGCAGGGTCCAAGCACGCCATAAGCTAGAGACTATCCCCAAGGCTTCTCCTTCTATACAGGAAGCAGACCACATCCAAAGGCAGCTACTCAGCTGCTTGTGGTAGATCCCACCATGGAGTTGATTGCCAGTCTCACCAGCTGCCCAGCCACTCAACCAGGCCTAGCTAGTTGACACAGAAATTTAACTACCACAGCTAGGGATGGTGGCTTCTCATTATTTTTTCTAACAGTGCTCAGTTATGCAGATGTGAACATAAATTTTATAATAATACCTCATTGAATTACAACAGAATGATACTTGATACCATGTATCTCTGATTTATTTCTCAGAAAAGGACAATGTATTTATTTTTCTACTCATTTATAGAGTGTGATAATAACGTTGTCCCAGAAGTTATTTAAAATGCACAGATAAGATGATGGGGCCCTGGTAGCGCATTTGTCTCTATTTGTATTCTTTCCCATTCTTGGAACTGTGGAAGTAGTTCTGTAAATACAGTTTCTCCTCCATTCATCAATTGGCTGGAGTGGTGAGTGGATAGGTCTCCTCTGCGGGTGGACCGCACCCATACACCACATGCTTGTCTTTGTTGCAGTATGTGTTAACCCTGTGAGTACCCAGCAGAAACACCAGTGACTATGAGATGCTTCCTGGGTGCCCTCTTAGCCACGCTTGTTTTTCTGTGCCATTGCCAGAGTGAGAACGCGCGCTTGGCCCTCTGCGAGCACCCCCAGTGGACGCCCGTGGTCGTGATTCTGGGGCTCCTGCAGTGCAGCATCCCCCCTGTCCTGAAAGCCGAACTGCTCAAGACGCTCGCGGCTTTCGGGAAGTCACCTGAAATCGCAGCTTCCCTCTGGCAGTCGTTGGAGTACACTCAGGTAGGATTGTGGGCACTCTTATGTGTACTGGTAGAAATAAACGTGCAGATGAGGCTGGATAATGTCATGGAGACATTCTTTGGGACTGGCATGCTGTGAACTTTCCTATTAATTAGTTAAGATGTTGGGACACTGATAGTGTTGGGTTTTTTTCTTTGGTTGGTTGACAGCGTCACTAGGTTACTGGAGTCTCTTTCTTCATTTAACTCTCAAGACCATGTGATTAATACTCTGTAGGAATTCCTCAATCTGGCTTCAAGAACAGGCAAATGTAAGCCTTCTAAGTGCGTCTGTACTCAGAAGATGAGGGAATCCATCTCTGTCTTTTCTGTTCCTGCTGGGCCCACATCAGAAGAGACAGGATCTCTGTAGTGCTCCACTTTGTCCCTGGCTTGTCCTCATCAAAGGGAAGCGTCAGCTGCTTGCTAAGTCTGCACAGAAATTTTAACAGCAGCCTGAAGGGTTTTTAGTGGTGATGAGGGCTCATTGTCAGAGCTATAATCTTGACCTTGGGCAAAAATGGGCATGTGATAAAGGGCTTTCTATCTTCTGCACACTTAAGAAATGTACATATGCTGACGTGAGAGGGAGAATATATGGGTTAATGATGTTGGAAGTCTCAATGAAATTGCTAGCTTTTCTCTACTGGCTTTTATTCTGTCAAGTGCAATTATTCTACCGTATGGAAAAGAAAAATAAGGGTGTGCTTTATCTCTAGGAGAGAGAACCATCTCTAGGAAATGATTAGGGAGAATTTGTGTCTTAGATGTAATACAACATAAGAGAGCTGGCCTTTCCAGTCCATTAGTCATGGTTAGATTAGAAGCAACCCTTTTGATGCCGTAAAGTACTTTCCCTGACTTTCTAACATGTGGCCTGAAGATGTGCATAACGTTCTCAGAAACAGCGTGGCGGCGTGTGTGCTGAGGACCGATGCTCCCCTCTGAAGCTCAGGGATGAGCTTCTTAGTGCTCGCCAGTGTTCTGCATGCCTCGTGCTGCTTGATGCTTGAGGTGAAATGTGCTTGAGTTTGGACATTTCTGCCCCTAGAGCAGCGCTGTTTTTTAAACAAAGATTCTACCTCTTTGTAGAAGTTCCTGACTTGTACAAGATGACGTATCCTGGCAGCAGGTATAACTTACTGTACTGTAAACTACTTAGGCACCTAACACTCAGAACGGAACATCTCAATTCAAAATTCCTGCTTGCTTCAGGGAACCTATTCTGAATAAGTTTACATCTTGTTTTTCTGGTGCCAGCTGTAGGGATGATTGTTAACAGATCAGTGTCCTGAACACAGGTAAGATTTCATCCCATCAGTCCTTTTTAAGATTCATTTCTAGAATATATGAAAGAGAATTTGCTGGGAAAAAAAGCCCTTTGTATGTGTGTGTGTGTGTGTGTGTGTGCACTTAGAAAATACTAGTTTTCCAAATAACCACGTAATTGGATTTGACTCTGAGATGCGTGTTGTTCGGAGTCCAACAGAGACTCCTTGGTCATCACTGCTAATGACATTGCTCTTAGGCGTGTGGACGCAGTGGGTGAGGCAGGCGATTATTACGTTGCAAAGCCACTGCTGTTCACTGATGAGTGAGGAAGGCTCCTAATGTCTCCTTCTTCTTATTTAAGATACTGCAGACCGTGAGGGCACCCAGTCAGAGGCAAGCTATCGGAATTGAGGTAAAGGTTTCCTTTTAGGTCAAACGCTCTATTCATACATTCCTGTAATGATAAAGACTGAGAAAAATTATTCTCACCCTATTAAGTTCCTGTAATTTTCAAATTTAATGTAATTTTCATCTGAAGGGTTTCTGGTCACTGTTGAGTTGGGGATGAAACTCTTGGTGAAAGGAACCAAAGTACTTAAGGTTTCAGAGTTGGAAAAGAAAGTTCCATGGCAAACATCCGAACGGAAAGGGTTTGGTTGAACTCAGTTAGGTCTGTTGTGAGTCAACCCAGCATGAGAATTGACTTGTTTCAGTTGATCTGCTCACTATCTACTCAACTTTCTCTTTTTTTAAAAGAAACATTTAAGATTTCTCTTCTTAATTCAAAGTCAGGAGCAGTGGATGGGAATTTGAAATTTTTCTTTTGATCGATACTAGATGTATACAATACTGTTGTGTTTCTTCCTCTCAATGAAAAATGGTAATGTCCGTTATGTGTCTTTGGTAATGTGATTTTACAGTAATATTAATGAATTAATGTCTGTAAAATGCAGTGTGCTTTGTAGCTGAGAGCTCCGTCTGACCAGCTTTCCTTTATTTTGTCTGTCTCTCTTCGGAAGGTCGAACTGAATGAAATAGAGTCCCGGTGTGAAGAATACCCCTTGACCCGGGCCTTTTGCCAGCTGCTTAGCACCCTGGTGGAGAGCTCCGCCCCTTCTAATTTGGGTGCTGGACTGCGGCCCCCTGGCTTTGACCCCTACTTGCAGTTCCTCAGAGATTCTGTGTTTCTTCGATTCCGCACAAGAGCTTACCGGAGAGCAGCTGAAAAGGTTATGTTTGGGGAAGTCTTTTTCCTTCTTGTTTGTTCAGTGCTGCTTGTTGTTTTATTAAAGGTAGAGAGTGGTACCCATCCAGTTTAGCTTATGAAAATAGTGCAATTCATACTGTTAGTTCTGAAACATCCATGGTCTTATTAGTGCATCCTGTGCAGTGAAAAAGAAATTGGGGCATCAGGGCCAAAGCAGTGACTTGTTCATTGTGATAAGTTCATTGTCATTTAGATCTTTAATTGAACACAGTTTGACTAAAATGAAACAAAAAACATCAAGCTTTTGGCTGCTGGAAACGTACTACCCCTTATTGGGATGCTTTAGGCTAGAGATCGAAGTACGTTTAAGCTCGCACCCCAGTTTCTGTTGAGTGCCTCTGGGTGCAGAGCCTTGGCAGGTAGGAAGCAGGGTTATGATGTATTCGGCGTGGCTGCCAGGGATGGAGGCTGAGCACAACTGATGTTTATGCACAGACTGGTCTGGCTGTAAGACATTCACCCTGAGCTTGTCGTAGATACCGTCTTACGTAATGCCAGGATTGCAGGGAGGCAGGTACTATTAATATTCCCATTTTACAGATGGAGGCTTAGCAAAGTTAAGGAGCTTGCCTAAGGTCCAGGACCAGGATATGAACCTAGGACTCTGATTCCAGATGCAAGCTCATAACCACTAACCTATGTAAGAGACCCTTTTAGGTTCTGATGTAATTCACTTCAGTTATAATCATGGAATATCACGTGGTTATTTATATCTTGTGGCGACAATTTTGCTTTACTTTTATAGTTTGTTCTTTTTGAATTTTTTTTTCCTTTTGTGTTAATAATTACAAAACTAATTTAGTTCATGTTGATTTGGGGCAATTAGTAAAATACATTTCGTTAAAGATTCGTTGAAAGTGGTCTTAATGGCTACATAGATTGCTTATATCTACCATGATGTGTTTCTTCATTGCCCTATCATTGGACATAGTTTGTTTTTAATATTTCGTCACAAATTATAGAAGCTCATTCTTTGTCAATTGCTTTAAAAAAATTTCTTTCCCATGTTGTAGAAAGAAACACTGAGAGGTGTATGCATTTTAATTAAGCCCAAGAACTACTTATTAACATGTATTCTGATTGGAAGAAAACAGTAACAGCAACTAGTCCTCATTACTAAGAGTCATTTCCGATAACAGTGGTCCCTGAAGGAGCTCTGATGATGCTGTGGTTAAAGCATTTGGCTGCTAACTAAAAGGTCGGAGGTTCGAAACCACCAGCTGCTCTGCAGGAGAAAAATGAGGCAGTTTGCTTCTGTACCCATGACAGCCTTGGTTCCTGAGACCTGTGATCTCCTCAACAAAACGTTCTGCTGTTGTTCCTTGGTGCTTTTTTGCACTGCTCTTGAATGTTTTCCTTTCTTGCAGAGGTCTTTATGACCTCAGTGTTCAGAGCTTCACTGGGCCATGTTCTTTGCAGGTCTCACTGTTTTTCACCTGTGAGCATCTACACACGTCAGATGCTGCTGTTTCCTTGGCACCCATCGATTTCCCTCCCACTCTTCATACTGACCCTAAAATATGCTTCTTCAATTTTGTGAATCTATTTCTCTGTTGAAAGTGATCTTGAGGCTTAATTTGTAGAACTCTGTGGGAGAGTACTGGCTCCTTACCAAAAACGATGCTTTGGATCGAGAGAGACCAGAAACTAGTCACATAGGCAGTGTTCAAATTTATCAAACCTAATATAGTTTTTTAAAAGTATCATTATTATGTGGAAATATGTCTATTTTATTTAAATAGATAAAATTTCCTGGACAAATTTGGAAAGCATAGAAAAGTGGGGTAATTAAAAAAAAAATCACTCCTTTATCTCAGTTCACTAAGGGAGACAAACTTGTCTCTCAGTTTGTCATCCTCTGAGGCTTGTACATTGCTGTGAGGCTTGAGGCTGTGCCAGTGGTGTTTCAGACGCCAGCAGAGTTGCACATGGTGCACAGGTTTCAATGCAGCTTACAGACTAAGACCAGAAAGAAGGAGGAGGCCAACCACTTCTCAAAAATTGGTCAGGGAAAACCTTATGAATAGCAGAGAGGCACTGTCTGATACATTACTGGGCAACTTTATGAATGGCTTGGAAACATTGCCCAACACAGTGCAGGAAGACGAGCCCCTTGGGTATAGGACTGGGAAAGAGCTGCCTCATCAGAGTAGAACCAACCTTAATGATATGGATAAAGTCTGTCTGTCATGAGCTCCCTGTACTGACATGGCACGATTGAAATTGATGAGAAACAGCTGCAACCATCCATTAATAATCAGCACATGGAATGTATGAACTATGAATCTAGGAAAATTGGAAGTTGTCAGAAATGAAATAGAACACACAAAGACTGATATTCTAGGCATTAGTGAGCTGAAATGGACTGGTTTTGGCCATTTTGAATCAGACAACCTTATGATCTACTATGCCAGGAATGACAAATTGAAGAGGAATGGTGTGATGTTCATTACCACAAAGGATGTTTAAAGTACAATGCTGTCAGTGATAGGATAATATCCATGCGCCTACTAGGAAGACCTGTTAATACTAATATTATTCAAATTTATATACCAACCACCAAAGCCAAAGATGAGGAAATTGAAGATTTTTATCAACTTCCACAGTCTGAAATTGACCAAACATGCAGTCAAGATGTGTTGCATATCACTGGTGATTAGAATGCAAAAGTTGGAAACAAAGAACAATCACCAGTAGTTTGAAAATTTGGCCTTGGTGACAGAAATAACGTCGGAAATCGCATGATAGAATTTTGCAAGACCAATGACTTATTCATTGTAAATACTTTTTTTCAACAACACAAATGGCAGCTATACACATGGACTTCGCCAGATAGAGTACACAGGAATCAGATTGACTACATCTGTGGCAAGAGGCTGTGGAAAAGCTCAATATCTTCAGCCAAAACAAGTCTGGGAGCTAATTGTGGAACAGA